CCCCTAAAATAACACCTGCAGTGACTCATCACCCCCACTATGCTCGGAGATGGTTATAAGCATCCACATATTGCGCGCGCGCACACACACACACACACACACACACACACACACACACACACACACACACACACACACACACACACACACACACACACACACACACACACACACACACACACACACACACACACACACACACACACACACACACACACACACACACACACACACACACCAGTGGGAACCTTATAAACAACCATGCATTTGTTTTTATAATCAATACTCAATTGTTTGATTTAACATTAACCTCACCTGATGAGAATGCTGAGCACAATGTTTACAGCACAAGACTATTCTTGGTTTAATGTGGAGCCACTTTGAGATCATCCTCCTTGTTCAGTCGTGGCCTTCATTTTTAATGTATGCGAGAGCCATAAAGGTGTCAAAGGTTAATATTGTGCCGCAAAATCAATCTGCTGCAGCGACTGCTGTGATGTTAATCTAGCATAATAACCCCAGGGGTCGCAAATAAAATATAATAATGGATCAAATATGATCATTCTAATAGTTTAATAAAATATATATGAAATCACCAAGCAACCCTACACCCCCCCTCACTGTCTCACGACCCCACTGTAAGAATCACTGCTGTAGACTATCCAAAAACAAATATGTCTTAAAGGGGCTAATAATATTGAGCTTAAAATGCTGTTTAAAAAAATAAAAACTGCTTTTACTCTAGCCGAAATAAAACAAATCAGACTTTCTCCAGAAGAACAAACATTATCAGACATACTGTGAACATTTCCTTGCTCAACATCATCTGGGAAATATTAAAAACAGTAAAACACTTCAGCTTCTGTCAGGGGCTTCACACCAATATACCTGAACACATCATTGCAAAATAAGTCATTTATTCTTGATGTATTTAAAAACATACATACATATATATATATATATATTCTTGGTGCAAAATATAATATAACAGACTTGTTCTAGCTGTAAGACATGAGTTTCTACACTTGTTTATGACTGATCCTGGCTGCAGTGATGTTCTCCTGTTATCAGACTGAGCTGAACACACACACACTGATCCGTGCTGTCTGTGTGAGATCAGAACAGCTCTTCTTCTCCACATATATACTGTTTAATCTCCATATACAAACACATTTCTGCAGATGTACAGCAGCCAGAGCAACTTTAATCCAAAATAAACCTCATCATGCGCAGAAAAACACCTGCTCCGCTGAATATGGCCTCTGCTCGAGCATCATCGTGCAAATACAGGCAGAACAGAGCAGCAGCGGACAGCCTGATCACATGACCCATCACACACACACACACGCATATATATGTACACACAAACACACAGACCACACACATGTACATGTATGTGCACATTGATATATGCATGCACACACACACACTCTCAAACACATATGCACATGCACGCAGACACACACACACTCACACTCACAGACACAATTGCACACACACATACAGACACACTAAAACTAAAACTCTCTCATACACACAAATACCACACACACATGCACACACACTTACGCACCCTTTCTCATACACATATGCACATACACACATTTGCATGCAAGCACACACACAGACACCCATGTTTGTACACACAAACATTAACGCACGCACACACACGCCCTCAAACACGTGCATGCACACAAATGCATGCATGCAAACACACCACACACATCTGCATGCACACATACACACACAAACTCGCTCACACACAAACGTTTGCGCATGAACACAAACGCAAACACTTAAACACAAACATATGCACACACACATATACACCAGTGTATGCTCACACACGGATGCACGCACACACACATGCACATATGCAGATAAACACACACTCTTTCACTCCCTCTCTCTCACACACACACACACACACACAGATTTGGTCATCTAGGTTCATGGCTTCAGTTGTTCAGCACATGCGCATACACACACACAGACACACACACACACACACACTCTAATTACTGAAAGAACACAAACACAAAGGCTGCTGGGATAAACATGTTCACATTGGTGTGTGTTTGTGTTCAGAACAGCGTACCAGCTCACAGCGCACAACACACACACTAAACCTCATCAGTTTACCGCGGTATTACTGGTTAAATCATGTGTCTGAAACGCCTCGATGCTCATTGTGAGTGTATTTTAATAATAACCTCTGCATTACAGCTCAACCGGGCGCTGACGAGGACTTTTATTTTCACACACACGAACATTAGCTGTGTTCATGATGATAAATCTCATTTATTCATCGCCAAAACTGGATTCCGGTATAAAAGACGTCATTAATCATATATTAACACTGACACTGAAACAGTTCAGGCAGAGCAGACCAACACGTCAGCTGTTCTGCAGTGTGCTCAGCCTGCTGGATTGTCCATTCACACACCACTATCATCATCACATGATCTCTTATCACAACATCACATGACCTTCATTAATGCGCACACTGGAGTTTGTTCGGTAAAAGTGTTTCCATCGTAGTTTATGCGCATCTCTTCTCATTGAATAAAACGTTTATCCTCCTCAGTTATGCGCAGGCATGTTTTATATGCGCATTTTTAACATGTATGCGCATCATTCCATCTACCTATGTTTAATGCGCATATTCAGAATGCACTTCAAAATGGAGGATGGAAGCGTCGCTAGTGTGATCAAATCTCATTTATTGTACAGCTCTATGTAACGGAGGCCAGCTAGTGTGTGCTGTGCTGGTAAACCTCACTCCTCTGACCTCTATAGGTGCTCTAGTGACAGATGCGTGAGGTCGTGGTCGTTAGCCTCCTTGGTACAGCACCTGACTCCCATGCGGAAGGTCGCAGGTTCGATACCAGCTCGGAGCGGGTTGGGTGGCGTAGGCCCGGCAGGGTTATATCTAGTGCATGCTGTTGCAAATACAATGTAAATAAATAATGACGGATTCACATGAAATGCAGAAAAGAATGTGTCGCTCGCTCGATGACGCGCAGGGTGCTTTTCACCTCATTTTTGCTTATGAAAAACATTTTTACAGAATTAAGCCTGATTCAAATATCAGTTATTGTGCAGCTTTAGTGCACAAATAATAAAAAATAAACAATGACAGGTCCACATGGAACTGGAAAACTCAGCCCGATGTACATTTTCCCCCTAAGCTAATTTAAAAATGTTTATTTTTACATTTTGAAAAGGCATTTGAGGTCAACTGTGCACCATTCTCCTGTACTTGAGAATTGACACTGACTCTCGGTGAACGACTCTCACGAATAATTAATTTACATTGGGTATGAACCAGGCAGATGTCGAGCACAATGCATTGTGGGACACAGTTTTGTGCTGTATACGCATTTTCAGACGCTGACTACGTTTACATGCACATCAGTAATGGAATTATTTGCCTTAATCTAATGATGACATGATCTCGTTAATGATGACATGATCTCGTTCTACATGTTATAGCTCATCATTTGATGATTCAGTCATTGCGTCAGCACGCTATACTCCAGACCAAACTCCAGAGTTTCATCTAATTTCAGGTCCTTCATTTTTAATTTGTCGACTTCACTGCAGTTTGGCACTTTCACTTTTAATGGGGAACATTTCATGCATGCTCCCCACGACAAACCAGATTCAGTCTTTCATTTTCTTTTCAGCTTAGTCCCTTTATTAATCAGGGGTCACCACAGCAGAATGAACCGACAACTTATCCAGCATATGTTTTAAGCAGCGGATGCCCTTCCAGCTGCAACCAATCACTGGGAAACATCCATACACACTCATTCACACACATACACCATGGCCAACCCAATTTACCTAAACCAAATGTCTTTTGGACTGTGGGGGAAACCAGAGCACCCGGAGGAAACCCACGCCAACACGGGGAGAACATGCAAACTCCACACAGAAATGCCAACTGACCCAGCCGGTCCCAATCGGTTCAAACCAGCGACCTTCTTGCTGTGAGGCGATCATGCTACCCACTGCGCCACCCTCTTTATTACAGTAGAGCAGGCCTGTTCACGTTTCTTTATCTGCAGATTTAAATTATTTTGCATCAAAAAGCATTTTGGGAAAGGTGTCTGCTGCAACCTCTGCAAAGCATCAAATCACCGGCGTATCAGCTGTCAACACGTGCAGGACTGCATTACTGTGCTATTCCTTTATAAAAAACAAACAAACAAAAAAAGCATGGAATATTGTGTATGTCCACTATCATACTGAAACTGCACTAAAGCTGGGTCAGTACCTTCATACAGTAATCTAAAAGGTCCATATTAAATGTTCTCTTTGGGGAGAACCAGCCCCTTTTTGTTCTTTCATTTTCAGATTGCAGACGTCTTATTGATATAATTTGTAAACTTGTATGTATATAAACATAAATATTATTAATTATTAAATATGAAGTATTATTAATTAATATAAATCATAAG